TAGAGTCAGAATCTAAACCCACATAACTGGACAACAACATATATATCCCCAGTGTTAGGTCATCCCAAGATCAAGTAGTAAACAGTGGGAACCAGAGAAGTATAAGGATTGCAAACGTCTGAGAAGACACTCAGAAAATGTGGAGAGAAATTTGGTGGCTTGGGGGAAAGGGAAAGGGCTTCAAGAAAGAAGGAAATATGTATTTACCCAATCAGACATTAGCAAACCCTTCAAAACAAGTCACATGTGTAGGCAGAATTTTCTGTCCCACTAGCCAGTTCCCAAATAACCACACAGAGACTTACTATTAATTATACATGCTCAACCAATAGCTTAGACTTGCTACTAATTAGCTCTTACAATTTAAATTAACCAGGCTTTATCAGTCTACATGTTGCCACATGACTCATGGCATTTACCTGTCCTCTTCTCTCTCTCTCTCTCTCTTTCTCTCTCTCTCTCTCTCTCTCTCTCTCTCTCTCTGACTGGTGATTCCACCCTTCTTCTTCCCAGAGTTCTCTCTGTATGGCTCTCCCACCTATATCTTTTCCTGCCTAGATATTGACCACTTAACTCTTTATTAAACAAATGAGAGCAACACATCTTCACAATGTACAAAAAGATTGTTCCACAACACACAAATTCAGTAAGTCTTGTTAAGATGGCTCAGAGAAATTTCAAAATGGAAAGCTATATCCTGAAAGAGTTTAAAGTGAACTGTGAATATACTTTCATTACCTATTAATAATCATTCCTTTATAATTTATTACAGAACAAAACAAACAAATAAGAAAAGATAATCTCAATCTTATTCTCAATCTATAAGAGACCAAGAAAGATCAGTGCCAAACTGGCTGCTATAATAAAATCTATCAAAAAAATCTAAATAAAAACTGATTTAGTGATGGGTGCAAAAATAAATGGACTCAGAGTACCTATGAAAGGGGGAAGTGGGGAGAAAACGAGGCAGTGAGTGGAAACAGAACAGTTTGAAGGTCATGTGACGAGAGAAACGAACCCTGGGAGGGATAGGAGATGAGGGCTTATCCTTAGACGTGATTAGTAATTTTTAAAAAAGTCTATATGTTATTATGAATAATTCAGTGATGAAAGAAGTTAAGAGAGAGAAGATAATTCCAGATAATTGGGGACCTAGGTAAGCAAATGTGGGTGGGTTAAAGAAGCAAAGAGAGGGTGTGCCTTAGGCGCACCAATACTGCTTCCAGTGTGCAGATGAACTGGTATTTTAGTGTTGGTGTGAGAGGAACATTATTAGTAAATTATATCAAACTGGTAGATGGTATTGGCCAAGCCTGGGTGAGTTGAATGGAAGGACTTGTGCAAAGAGACACTGTTGTAGAGAGAGGAAGGCATGAATGTGCCAAAGACAAAAACCAGCATTTTCTAGTGGCATTGAACATTGTTTGAGATTTGGGGTAGAAAACCAGGTAAGTCCAGACAACACAGTCATATGAATTTCCTATAGCAGCATAAGTTTCTCATATGTAGCTAAACAAAAGGGAGCAACTGAGTTTTGTGGGAAGTTTCCTGTAATGAGCCTTTTCCCTAAGAGCAAGCCACCCCCACTGTATATCCCTGGTGGGATGTATGGGAGGAGGTGCCTCCTGGGCAAGAAGATATCTGACAACATGTTATTGAGGAAAGTAAGAACCATCGATAGGGTCAATTATAGGGACATTCAGTCCCCAAAGTGCTCTAAAGAGTCCAAGTTTCAATGGGATAGGAGTAAGACCCAGACTCAAAATATACTCTCAAATAGTACGGCGATGATGTCAATGGAGGGGTTCTGAAGGATGTGAGGGCATCTGCAATGACAATAACGCTGTAGTGTGGCCATGGGGGTTTCAGTGGCCAGCTGAAATGGGGTAGGAGAAATGATAACATAAAAACTCAAAATATTACAATAGCAGGTTGCCAGGTGGATCAAGAACAACTGACCGGATTGAGTGTAGGAGTAAAGAAGGAAATAAACCCAGCACATCAGATGATAGAGTTATCAAATAAAGGTGGGAGACAGGAAAGAGATAGCAGCACTGTGCCTTTGTTCTTTGTTCATTTCAGGGAGACGGTTTCAAGGTTGTAAGGATCCATAGAAACCAAAAAGATACCCTGCTTCACCTAGTGTTTCCAAAGCAACTGAGTTGAGGGGAAGAACGCCTTCCACGTGGGAAGAACCTGGGAAAGGAGTCCATTTCTATAAGTCTATGAGAATGATAATCTTACTTAAAATTAATGAGCAAGATTGAAGCTAAGTTTCTAGTTCCCCACCTTCTACCTCCCAGAGATTACTACAGTGTTCAGACTGCATAGATTTGAGAAGAATGGGCCTAAAGGAAGAGTTGGAAGCCACCTGCTCTTAAAGACCTTAGGGTAGAAGCCTCCTTTGAAGGTGAAAACAGAGCTCAAATCCAAAAGACTGATTTAACAGAAGCTGAATCTTGTGCTGTTAATATCTCTATAATAAGAAAGAAAACAAGCAGCCAATGTCTCTAAAGAGAGAGGGGGGAGAGAGGTGTGTGTGTGTGTGTGTGTGTGTGTGTGTGTGTGTGTGTGAGAGAGAGAGAGAGAGAGAGAGAGAGAGAGAGAGAGAGAGACCTGCCCTTGTATCATAGCAGCTCAAGGAGTCATTGGCAGTGGAGTGTTGAGGATCGCTACCTACACAGCCCTCTCGTTCAATTCTCTTGTGAGTTTACCTCTCAGTGACCCCTAAGATGTCCCCTACTTTCCCTTTATAGAAGCACTGTGCCTTTGTTCTTTGTTCATTTCAGAGAGTCAGCTGAGAAAGTCAGCATAGCCTGAACCACATGTTCTCAAACTCCGATGTACTATCAGTTCCCCAGGGAGTAGAAGCGTGGTCATCGCAAACTCACGGGGCTGTTTCCTGAAGCCAAATGACCTTTCTTCATCCTCACACACAATCTCTGGGGTGATGCTGCTTTCATTCCTGATCACAGTGAGGGACTGAAGCTAAGGAAGGCTAAGGGCATCGCTCAGATCTTCCTATAAATAAACACAGGGTAAGGCTGGTCTCTTGTCCAACACCAGATCCTGTGCCGTGTCTGCTCCCAAACACCAACCTGTTTACTGACGATGATAGAAGGCCCACAGTTCCAAAGGAAAGGGGTTCCATGAGAAGTTGGCTTGCTGTTGGTGGCATACCCTGGCTGCATTATTCACAACAGCCAGGAGATGGACCCAACCAAGATGCCCATCACCAGATGACTGGACAAAGGTAGTACCTAGACACAACGGAATAAAGAAGAAAATGAGACCCTGGCATTTGCAGGAAAATGGATGCAAGTGTAAATCATTTAATTAAAACAATGGCTAAGCAGAATAAACCAGACTCAGGAAAGCAAATGCACATTTACTCTCCTATGTGAAACCCAGATGTGAATATATGTATGTTTATAGGCTACAGAACTAGAAAGAGGATTGAAAGAGGAGAGGATAGATGTTAAAGGAGGTGTAAGAGATGTGAGAAAATGCATGTGGGGGATAAGTGGGGGGAAAAGGAGTCAGCAGGAGAAAGAGAGTCAGAGTATAGAGGAGGGGAGGGGAGAAGGGAAAGGAATTAGAATAAAATATGATGGCATACATGCCTGAAGACATAATAAAGAATATCATTATTTTGTATGCTAACCTAAAAAGCTAATATAAAAAACTGCACCTGGAAAATGCCTATGTAAGATGGCTAATGCTGGTATAGCAAATACCCAATGGAAGTGGGGGTGCTTTTAAATTTAATAACATTTCAAAGAAATGTTAAATTATCAAAAAGTAAAAGTTATTCACCCGGGGCCCAGAACTGTTTAGACAGTCACCATAACTTTTAAAACATTATTCATATACGAGGAAATTTGTTCCATTTAAAACAGGAAGAAAAAAAACCACACCCAACTCTCCCGACCTTTTCAGACTCCTTGTGCTTTAATTACTTGATTCGAAGTCAGCATCTCAGGCACAGCACAGGCAATGGCACGGCAGCACCAATCCACGGCACTTCCCTGGCAGGACGCACTTGAGCAGTATAGGCGCAGGTTGGGTTCAGATGTTCCTCGGAGCTCACACAGAACTGGAGCTTCTAGCATTCCCTTGAACTCCCAAGATCCCCTCTCAACCTGCTGTCCTCTCCTTGGCCCTGCCGTGTGTGTGTGTGTGTGTGTGTGTGTGTGTGTGTGTGTGTGTGTGAAGGCTTTCTTCCCACACATCACTCTGACTGTGTTATATTCCCAAAGAGTTGTTTCTTTTCTTTTTTTTTTTTTAAACTTTATGGAAGTGTTTATTGTTAAAGTCTAGTACCAGAGACCAGGAGACAAACATGACAGGTACCACTCACAAGGGACAATGCCCCCACTGGTCACCCTATCTTTTGGCAATGAATTCAGTAAAAAAAAAAAAGCACAGGAACATTCTGGAAGGGCTTAAAAGTCACATTCTGAATTAAAGAGAAAATGTTCAAAGCTAAACAGTGAAATGAAAGCTCTCATTAGCTGCGCAGTCTACCAAATCTAAATAAAGTGTGGATAATGGCTACCTCAACAGCACTCAGTCTCAGAGCTAACTCGGACAACTCATCACGGAACTACACAGCTAAGACGCTCACACCGTGCAGTGCTGGGGTTTAGTGAAGATGGCCCGAGGGCGGAGAAGCAGTGAAGGAGGTGAGAAGGTGAGCCTGAGAAGCCCTGGGACAGGGGCACACGCTCTGGCTGCTGATGCCACCGTTTCCACACAGAAGGCCTAGCAACCGCTGGCTTCCGGGAGGAAAAGGAATCTACCTTGGCTGACAGCCGCCCTGAAAAGGTCATCAGGTAACAGCCTAAAGCTCAAGTCATGAGCAAACCAAAACCCTGACATCTGCCCACTGAAACCCTTTATGTTTTGTCAATGCTTTGTCCATAATATATTATGGCCTGACTTATGCCAACCGGTATTTAAGCCAATTAGGAACAAAGACAAACTGCACTCTCTTTAGGTCTAGTTGGAGGAGAATAACATTTCCTGTAGTGACCTTATCATACAATCTTTAACAGAAACTCGTAGGTTGCATTGATTATTCCCCAGGAGATGAGAGAGCGATGGTAGTTCAGATGGGCTCCTCTGAAGAGATTGATCAGATTCCTGTCCCGCTCAAGCCAGATTGTCTTGAAAACCATGGGGAAAGATTGGAACGGCCCACCAATCTGAGACTGGATCCGAGCCTTTACAACATTAATTGGGAAGCTCAAGAACCCCAGCACGGCACCCAGCACACCTCCACAGATAAAGTCGTTGACCAAATGCTCACTATTCGTGGTGGCAGTAGGCAGATGCTCCTTAATGGGCCCTCGAAGGCCAAAAAACAGGATATTGCTGAATCCATTTCGGAAAAGGATAGGCACCAAGCCTCGGTAATACTCTGCGATTCCATGGCATCTCAGGGCCCGGAAGGCCTGGTAAGTGTTTGTGAACTTATCGTGATGCTTGTGGTCCTGAAGCAAAGTCTGAACCCTTTCTAACGGAGTGAGAATGGCTTCTGTTGTCCCAGCAAGCAGCGCCGCCACACTTCTGGTGGCAAACTCGGGAGCACCGCTCACATGCTTGCGGAGCAGGCGTGACAGGTCCTCGTACAGACCAAACATAAGCGCCAGCGTGGTTGTCTTCTGCATCAGCGGGGGAAGGATCCCACGATACAAGTTTCGAAACCCATCCCTTCTCAGTTGGAGTATCGCATCCCGGGTTTTGAGGCCGTACAGCTACTGCCGAAAGAGGATCTTCTGGACAGGGTAGGTGATGGCCACATTGTTGAACGCCGCGCGGCAGCCACAGAAGTAATGCTTTACCTCACCCACGTCTGCGATGTGAGGAGACAGGTCCTGGTTTGAAGAGGTCAACATTGGGGGCCTCTTATCATGCACTTCTGAGTCCATCATGGTGCTTACGGTCTTTCTTCTCCGGGGAAACGTTTTAACCTGTGACATCGACCGAGCCTGGCATTGATGACGACAGCTTTCTGATAACCTTCCCAACGTCTTCCATTGTTAACCTTCTCTCTTCTGGAGTCAATATTGATAGTTGCATTTCCCACGGCCGCGGGCGCCCGCCCGCAGGACGGCCGGCGAGCGAGCCCGCGCCCGCGCAGGCCCAAAGAGTTGTTTCTAATAAGCTGCGCTAGGAGGTAGGGAGACGGCAGGCGCATAGTTAAAAGCACTTATTGCTTTTGTAAAAGACCCAGGTTCAGCTTCCAGCACCCACATCCGGTAACTCACAACTTCCACTAATTCCAGTTCCAGGGGATCTGTCACCCTCTTCTGGCCTCCAAACACACACGCACATGTATGTGGTACACACAAATTCACATAGACACATTCACACATATACATGAATTAAAAAAAAAAAAAACTTTACTAACCTCTCCTCACTTCAGGCAAAGGCACCTGATTTCCTCAATATCAACAACTTCTTTTCAGAGTCTTCTGGAGGCCAGAAGCATCTTCCACAGATGCTTTAGGAGCAGCAGGCTGTCTTCCTCCATGCCCAGGTCTACATCAATATCCCTGGGTCATCCTCTATGTTCAGTTCTTTTCCACCATCTTGGAGAATGACCATACATGCTAATGATGGGCCTGATAGGACACCACTCTTCCCCCTCTTCAATCCAGCAAACTCTGCCTTCTCCTCCGTTACAAACCACCTGGGATTTTTTTTTTCTGTCACCCACTCTGCCCCACTACTAAGATTCCCACTAGAAATTTAGTTCAAAGACCACATCCTGCCGATCGTCCAACATTCTCCTTCTTATCGTTGTCATTGTCACGCCCGTCTTCTGAGCCATAATCCCATAATATATCTCAGAGCTGTGCCGCCAAGCATGAGTGGGGATGGCCCGTGCCACCGTTAGACCATTAGCGGAGAAGACTGAGAAGAGAGTGCCCTCTTGGGGAAATGCTGGTATGCCTGGTGGTCAGTGTGGGGTTACTGTTGGTCCTGTGAGATCACCTCATGAAGCCTGAAATCCAGGCAGAGGCATCTAGGTGGCATCTACTGAGAACACTGGGCTGGTACCGGGAAGGGAGGCAAGGAACACCCTAACACATGCTGCCCGAGGGCACACGAGGCACGTGGAGAGGTGAAGGAATTCAGCAACAAAGAACAGAAGAAGATTGGGAACACCCATAACCATCTTACTCCGCAATATGACTCAAGAAGGACAATTTTCCCTTCGAGAAATCTTTTCCCCAGAAATGCAGGTGGACAATGTCTACTCAAGTCACACATTAGAGAAGGTTTTCGTCTCTGTACGCCAATGCCATGTTTGGTCTTCTGCCTGAAAGCTAAAACTACTGAATTGCATCTACAGCCAGCTAGTCCAGCTGCTGAACAATTCACCACCTCCACTGAGTCCACCCTCCATGGCATTCCCAGCTCATTGGCCACTGTATCTCTCCCTGTTCCCTAGTGTCTCATTCTCATCTTATTGACCACTGTATTTCTTTCTTATTCCTTATCAGAACAGCTCTGCCCAATACCTGTTTCTTCACCTGCCTGTCCCCTAGTGGCATGACTTCTGGACTTTCTAACATTACCATGCTTGTTCTGTTTCCTCCTTACTTTGCTGGAACCCATCAAATTAACCCAGCTCTAAACTGAGATGCTTCTTCTGCTTGAGTCCCGTGTTCTTGATGTTGCCAGAACATATGATGCTATTAGCAAAACACAAGTTTCTTCATTTCCATTCCACTTGACATCCTTGTGATGGGTCATCTTGTATTCACTTACTGTAATGAAATGTCTGAGACAGTCAACTTCAAAGCAGGCAAGCTACATTTCAGCTCAGTTTGGTAAGATCTAAAACATGGCTGTTGACCCGATCTCTGCGGTGAGGCTTCATAGCAGGTGTGTGTGACAAAGGACCATTCGCTAAGAAGCAATGACCAGGAAGGTACAATCTTCTTCAAGGATAATCTCAGTGACCCCAAAGCTCTGACAAGGTGCCACCTCCTAAAGTTTTCACCACCCTCCAACAGTGTCATGCTGGGAACTGAGCCTTTACCACGGTGTTTGGTGGAGCATCAGAAATCATTTATTTCTCACCCCCTCCCGTATCTCGAAGACCACATCTAGAAAGTCCTCTAATGTCTTTCCTACTCTCACCTATTGCCCTGCCTGACACTAGCTTTTGCCAAGAGTCCCCCCGCACCACACACACACACACACACACACACACACTGCCTATGCTCTCTTCCTTCTATTCTGCAAAGTTTGTTATCCTACAAATAGCCTTGGTCATGTCCCTCGCCCGCTCAAAAGTCTTGAGTGTGCATAGCCTTTTGCTCATGAGCAGAGTAGGCTCCCTAGACTGGCAGTCAGAGCACTCCACAGTGTGATCAGACTTGTTACTGCGTGTCTTCTGAACGCACCCTGGGTTTCTCACCTCTGGGTCTACTTCCGTGTTTCCTCTGCCGGTACAGTTTCCACGGCCAACTATAGCAACTGAAACCTGGCCAGCCTTCAAGGTCTGCCTCAAAGCGTGGAAACCTTCTCTGGTTTCTAGGTTGGATTTGATCTATCTTTCTTCCTTTTCTTAGTAGTTCTTAGAAATTTATATATTTTATGGCTCTTAATTTATATTATTGTAATTACAAACATCTATCTGCCTTCACCGCTATGCAGTAAGCTCCAGAAAGACAGAGATCATATCTTATTACATTTATATTCCCACAGGACTTAGCACATTCGTTGCAATAAAAGACCATCTGTACATACCTATTAAATTCACATGTATATATCTCTAAGAAATTCTATGCTGCAATTTGGGGTTTTTGAAACTGTTCATTATACCCACTTGTCTATACACACAAAATGCCCTTTCCAGAGCTTCTTGGTGCCATTTCCCTACACTACTGACAGAAAGGCCCTGCAGGGCAGTTATTTATCAAGGCTGCAAAATATTCTCCCTGCCCCTTGGGCTTCTCCCTGGAATCACTCTGAGGCCTGAGCTCATGAATGAAGTGACTGATAAATTCAGAGCAAAATCATGTTTGTAATTATCTTCTGTGGTTAAAAAGACAAAGAGATATTGTTGTTTTCCAAATAGCGTGTATTTAAGGAAGGAACATCTCAACTCAGAAGCAGCACTGCAGGGCGGCTTGCCCAGGACTCGGGATACATCAGAAAAGTCACATGGAATTTTCTTCTTTGTAGTTATCAAGGCACCAGAAGCGACAGCGCAGCAGGAGGCTTTGAACTTGCTGCAGCTCGGCCACTGTCAGTCTTTGACGGCTTGTCAAAGTCACTCCTTGCTTGCAGCCTCCCTCTCTGGATCTTAAAGGGAGAAACAGGGAGGGATAATTCAGTCAGGGATGTGCTTGTTGCACGGGCATGAAGATCTGAATTTGACGCTAAGTACCCACATAAAAAGGCCATGTGGTGGCATAGGCTTGTAGGCTCAGCCCTGGAGACATGGGAACAGTGATCCCTGTGCTCAATGGCCAGTCAGTCTAGCCTACCTGACAAGTTCCAAGTCAGCAAAAGATCCTGTCTCAAAAAACAAGGCAAATGACACCTGGTGTCCACACATACACTTATATACATACATTTATATACCCTCACACATACATGTATGTGAACCTGTACATGTACACACACATGAGCAATAAGTCTAACATACTTATTATTATTGTTATAACATGCTAATCACAATACTTGGTGATTGGTGAGCTTTGTGACCTTCTTAGGAACTAAACTGTGTCTATCTAGACCCTGTAAAGGAACACAGCACGAGCTGAAGACTGAGCATGACAGACAGACTGATGGGTGTCTACCCTACCTCTGTTCCCTCTCGCTATGGGACATCAAGAATCATTCATTACTTCTCGGTTATTATAGGAAGGCTCTAATATTAATAATAGTGACAGTCACCGCAACATCGGGCTCCTGCAGCAACACATTGCTTGGGCGTGTCTGTCATAGCATGAGTGTATTATAGATGTCATGATTACTGATTTCAGTGAGATCCATTTTCAAAAGCAGCAAGTACACACTGTTAGGGAACTTCTTTCTGCAGGTGTGTGTCCTGGTCAGGGCCAAGGCAGCCAGAGAGTAGCCTCAGACGGCAAAGGGCAGGGTTGTGGACTGCTGACTCACAAGTCGTACATCATACAACATTCCCCTTGTATGAACACTGTTATTGTTTAATTGAATTAATTGCCAATATATAAAAATCACGGTTTTCCTATCGTGGCTTAATTGTTAATGATGTGGGCAGAGGAACCTGGAAAGATGGTACAGCAGCTAAAGGTACACACTGCTCCTGCAGAGGACCATGAGGGCGCTCTCAGCACCCATACGAGGCAGCTCTCAACTGCCTGTAGCTCCAGCTCCAGGCATCCGAAACCCCTTTCTGACCTCCGAGGTACTGCACTCAAATGAACAAACCCACATACAGACAATGCACGTATACATAATTGTTTAAAGATTCACTTATGTTTAGGTTGCATGTATAAATGGCATGCCTACAACAATGCTCACACAGCAATCTCCATAGCGTGCCATGCAGGCATGCGGGCCTGAGTTCAGATCCCTAACATCCATGGGGCACAGCAGTACATGTCCATGGGAAAAATAGAGACAGGCGGATTTCTGGGGACTCCTCAGACAACCTAACCAAATCAGTGAGCACTAGGTCCAGTGGTGATGTGGGATTTCCCTCTGTATGCTGTGAATACCATTGGTTAATAAAAAAAAAAACCTGTCTTGGGCCTGCACAGGGCAGAACAGTGGTAGGCAGGGAAAAAACTAAACTGAATGCTGGGAGAAAGGAGGCAGAGTCAGAGGAGAAGCCACGGAGCCGCCATAGGAGACAGACATGCTAGAACGTTGCTGGTAGGCCACAAGCCTCATGGTAAAATATAAAATAATGGAGATGGGTTAATTCTAGATGTAAGAGCTAGCTAGCAATTTGTTTAAGTAATTGGTCAAGCAGTGATTTAATTAATACAGTTTCTGTGTGGTTATTTCAGGAGTCTGGGCAGCCAGGAAATGAACAAACAGAGGGCGGCCGTGAGCACACTAGCAGCCTCTTACTACACAGTGAGACACTGGTCTCAAAAATACGGTGGAGAAAGGAAGGATCTGGCATT